GCGTGTGAAATGGAGCGTACGTGGCCCTTGCCGGCGTTGGCGATGCCGTTGACCAGCTCGGTCGAGGCGTCGGAGCCGATGCCCAGGGTGAACACGCGTGTGCCCTTGGCATGCTTGCGCACGCACGAAACGACGTCTTCCGTGTTGCCCACCTCACCGTCCGTCTGCCGCACGACACACACGGCACACGGCACACGACACACACGCACCACCACACAGCGTCGTCAACAGCCGCCCGTGTGCGACGCAGATGAGGGTCCTGGTACGTACCAGGACGAAGACCTGGCGCGGGAACTGGGGGTCGGCGGGCGACGACAGGACGTCGCGCAGGGGCGCGAGCAGCTCCGTGCCGCCCAGGTCGGCGGAGATGCCGCTCGCGTGCCGGTTGGCGATCTCCAGCGACGAATCGTCGTAGGCGCGCGACGTCGGGAACAGCTTCTCGTAGCGGCTTCCGAACCCGATCACTGCCATCAAAAAAAATGAACACATATAATATAATAAATCATAGAAAATGGTTAAAAATTATAAATACAGAAAAATAGAAATAATAATAAAATCTACCAGTAAAAATAATCATAGAAAATGGTTAAAAAGTGTAAATTAAGAAAAATAGAAATAATCATAATAAAATCTACCCGTAAAAATAATCATAAAAAAAGAGTACCGTTGAAGCGGGTGCCGATGGGGAGGGAGTGGAGGAAGAGGGCCAGCGCGTTCTTGGCCTGGTTGATGCGGCTGCCGGACATGGACCCGCTCCGGTCGACCACGAAGATGACCTCGGCGATGACGTCGGCGTCGCGCAGGTTCTCCAGCTGCGGGACGAAGCTCACCATGGCCACGGCCGACCCGGCCGCCTTGTCGACCTCGACCACGGCCTGCGGCTCGCCGATCGACTGGCGCTGGCCCCAGAAGCACCACCAGGCCCGTGCTCGATACGTGCTTGGCCGAATCAAACTATATTTTTCAAATCCCCAATCATGTTAGCGTGTGCGGTGCGTGCGTGCGGTGCGTGCGTGCGGTATGTGACCGTGGGTGGGTACCTGGACTTGGGCGGTGTTGGCGTTGGTGGTGGTGGAGAGCTCGTGACCCGAGGGACACTCGATGGCGGGCACGGGCGAAGGCATGTCGGCGCTGATGGTCACATGCAGACCGTCCTTGACCGTCGCATCATCCCTGTAAAATACAACAGAAATATGAATACCTCCCCATAATATAATTCTATATTAATGCATCAATCAACTATACACCAACGATAAATCCATAAAGAATAAAGCAGTAAATAGTCAACATATGATTGGGGGAGCGTACGTGTCTGCGGTGGTGGTGGAGTCGCTGCCGTGGATGGGCAGACGGGTGATGGGCAGCGCCACGCGCACGAAGTCGCCCTCGACGGCCAGCTCGCTCACATAGCGGAATGTGACCACGCATTCCTGTTGGTGTGAATTGATGTGTGTCACACCATTTGGACCCATGACGACACTCGATGACGTCCAAGTCGGGTGGTCAGCTCGCTGCGTGCTTTGCATACCTTGCCGGGCGGGAGGTTGCCCACGCTGAGCGAGAAGGCGCCCTTGACCTTGTCGTCCTGCGCCAGCAGGAACCCGCGGCCGCCCGAGCTGATCGCATCATCGTATCTGTCGCACGAACCAACATATTAGTATATAAGACTATATACATATATAAACATATATCGCGTACGTGTTGAGAGCCTCCTCCTTCTCCTTGATCTCGCCGACCACCTTCTCGCCGTCGACGATGGCCTCGAAGCCGTAGATGGAGCACTCCTCCTGCCGGAACTTGAACACGGCCTCGATGGGCGCCGACTCGGCGTTGACGTAGCGCTGGGTGACCTCCACCTGGGCCACCATGCCTACCACCTCGGCCTTCACCGCCAGCCCGCGCAGCGGAACCGACGCCGGCAGCCCCTTGCCTGCATCCATCCACCTGATCAACACCGCATACACGCACACACGCACACGCGCACACACACACGCACACGCGCACACAAGCGACGTACCGGCGGTCTTGGGGAAGAGGCCGCACAGGAAGGTGTCGTCGGCGCGCAGGGGCGGAATCGGGACCGCGTGGGCGAGGATGGGCACCAGGGGCACCTGAGAGACTGCGGCCGGCGGCGGCGTGAACACGGCCGGCGGCGCCACGTTGCTGTTGAAGTAGGCGTCCAGTGCCGCCTGCGCGTTCTCCAAGGTTAATTCATAAATATAAAAATGAATAAATAATTAATAATTGAGTACTCCATTTATTAATTTGTATATATTACAATAAAAAACTTCGAAAGAAATAAATAAAGCAAATAATAAATAATAAGAATTATTCCATTTTACTAAATAGAATAAGAAATAAGAATAAGGAACGCGTACTTCGACGTTCCAGTTGAAGGTTTGCAGGCGCTGACGGCAGTCAGCCTCGGCCAGACCCGTTATCTGGAGAGAAACAGATGAGAGGCAATGCCAACAAGCGCTTGGAGGTGGGGCGTACCGACTGAAACTGGACCACGTGTTGCTGCTGCGCTGCTGACATGACTTACTACTTATTTTGTGTTTGGAAATAGATGCACGAGTTGCTTATTCAGCAAGCATAGATCTTATTTGTTTGCCCTACTTCGCCACGTCCCCTTCTCTCTCTGTGTGTTGGTCAGTTCACTTCAGCCAATTTCGTGCAAGGCAGCGTGAAGAGAAAAAGCAATTTTCACCGCCTTTGCTATTTGGCTTTCGAAATGAAACGTAAATTTGAAATTTTCAGCAATGCTGCATCTTTTGTAAACAAAAAAAGGAAGAAGAGAGCGCAACAGATGCGATGCACAGCCCACAGAGGGGAGGGCACACGACAGAGGACGAAGACAGGAGGAAGACATCGGTGGGGGCGGTGGTGGCGAGTCTGTCGCAGCTGAGCATCGCCGCCACCCAGCGCTACGCAGATCTGTACACCGCCAGCACCATCCGCGCCTTCCCCGAGCACGTCCGCGACCACATCCTGCGCGCGCTCGACAAGTCTGACCAGGTATAAAATATAAAATAAAAATAATCATGAATTTATATTAAATATCAATAATAATTTAATAATGATAATGATAAAACAAGATAAGAATAATAACCTAAATGGCCAGATAGAGAAGCTGGGGGAGTACAAGGCGTGGCACCCGAACGACCAGCTGTGGTGCCACGAGCACTACGCCGCCGACGGCCAGCAGCGCCTGGGCCTGTGGTGGCACCCCAACGGCAACCGGTGGCGGGAGGAGTCCTACGACGAGCAGGGCCGCAAGCACGGCGTGGCCCGGTGGTGGCACCCCAACGGCCAGCTCCGCATCGAGGTGCGCTACGAGGCGGGACGCGAGGTGGAGGGCACCTACCGATCGTGGACCCAGTCCGGCAACCTCATCACGTGATGATGACGCGCCGTGTCTACAACCAGAACATGTACATGTTATTGATCACACACTCAACTCCCGAAGTGTGTGTCGTGTCGATTCATGGGATCCATTCGCCCGCGGCCTTGCGGCGTCGCCACTCGGCTTCGATCACTTCCCTGGTCGGATGGCCGTTGGCACCGCCCTTGTGCTGCGGTGCGTCCCGTCGGGATGGAAAAGAAACAAAACCAAGTAAAATTAGAAAAATAAATAAAAATAAATTAAAATTAAAAATCAGAGCACAAGCTGGCGATCGTTGGGCGCGACAGTACCTGGATCTTCATGGCCGCAGCGCAGTGGGCCTTCTCCAGGGCGTCGCTGTCCGAGTCGCCCCACAGCCGCGAGAAACTCACGAACGCCGACGCGAACGCGTCCCCCGCGCCTACGCTCGGTCGTCGTTAAACCACAACCGCCAACCGCCAACCGCGACCGCGACACACACACGCGCACGCACGCACACACGCACACACGCGCACGCGCACTACAGGAGAGGAGGCAAGGGGGCGGTACCGGTGGTGTCGACGACCGAGGTCAGTATCGAGGGTCGGAAGCAGCGCGTGTGGGCCGAGATGGCGTGCGCCCCGTGGAGGCCGAGGGTCACCACGTACTTGGCGCCGGTACCGCGCAGCTCGCGCTGCAGGGCCACCACCCACGCGGGTCCGTCGTCGTCGTCGTCGTCGGCAGCTGATGTGGTCGGCTTGTCGTGTGCAGCGTCGGTGTCGACGCCGTAGACCAGCTTGAGCGAGTGCTCGTTGAAGAAGACGCAGTCGAGCCGCTTGAATGCCGCGCGGAGCCGTCGCGGGTCCTCCGACAGGATCGACGCGCCCAGGTCGATCGAAACCGAAGGAAAACACTCCTGACCTCGCGGATCTTCTGATGATGACGGTGGTGATGGAGATGATGATAACAAAGTTGATGCTGATGAACATGAAGGCGAAGATGAAGAAGAAGAAGAAGAAGAAGAAGGAATGGTGGCGGCGGTGGAGGTCGGCGCAGAGAAGGGCGTGACGTGGGGCAGAAAGGAAGAGAGGTGCGAGGCGAGCGGAACGAGGCCTCCAGAGTCCGGTGAACCGTAGACCGAGTCGACCGAGTAAGCGCTGGGCGACGGCGAAGGCACGAACGCGATGAGCGACGGCGACGGCGGCTGCTGAAGCGCTGTAGATGACGACGATGACGACGACGAAGGTGATGATGGCGGCGGCGACGACGACGAAGAAGAAGATGAAGAAGATGATGAGTGGGTGGCCACGTCGTGTTTCATGAGCAGCACCTTCTCGAGGAGGGGCAGGGAGACGGAGGCGAGGTGGACGTGGTCGAACCGCCGCAGCTGATCGACGGGCACGAGGTGGTGGACCAGCTCGTTGGCCACCCCGCCGTGGCCCAGCTTCGTGCTCATCCCGTCGGGCGTCAGCAGCACAATCGTGCGCCCCGTCTTGCCGCCTGTACCGCACACCCAACAAGCGTGAGCGCACACGCACGCACCGCACACGCACGCGCACGCACCGCACACGCACACGCACAGTGGAAGACAAACCGGGGATTTGCTTGCACAGGGCGAGGTCGAGGCCCTTGTGACGAAGTCGGGCGAGCAGGCGCAGGGCCACATCGTCGTCGCCGATGAGTGAGTGGAGCCGTGCGGCGGCACCGCACGCGAGGAATCCGCAGCAGGCGTTGGTGGCGCTTCCGCCCAGGTCCTCCGCGATCTCGCGCACGGCGAACTTGCCGTCGGGCGTGGGGAAGCACGGCAGGTCCACGAACTCGTCTGCCCTCAGAAGAAAGAAAAAGTTAAAGATTAATCTAATAATGTGGGGGGGGGCAACTGCAAGGCTTGGGGAGTAGTGTACCCAGGTAGGTGTTGCCCACAACCAGCACCCGGGCCTGTGGCGTGGGAACAGCCTCCTCCATGCTCAAGACAGGGACAAAAAACGAGTTAGGGTGCCACGTCACGCTCTACAAAATATGTTAGCTAATATTGTGTATTTTGTTTTTCACACATATTTTAAATGGCAACTGGTCAGCCCACGGGCAGGGAGGCGACCCAAAAGAAAAAGTTGTGCTTTGGCCAACCCACAAACCGAGCCACCGCAGGCACGCTACAAGTGCAGAGACCGAACCAGGTGAGAGTTTGTCCTGAGACTCAAGCAGGAATCCCAAACTCTATGGGTCCCGTCCTAACTTGACACTCCTGTCGGTCCTCCCATCGTGCCCCCTTGCTCTGCTCGGTTTGCGCCGAGTGGGGTGGGGTGGAGTGCGGTGGGGGCCGTGTGGAGCCGCTGGATGGGCGGTGGTCACGCGGCGCCCTGCCGGCAGTGACCCAATTTTTGCACCTGGTGCCCAGCAGGGCACCGACCTGCACAACCAACGATAAAACTCTCTCAACTCTTGCAAGAGATCCATCTCGGCTTTGGACGACTTGACGTCGCGCAGGGAACACCTTTGGATGGTCGAGCCGCTTGCAAGCTAGCTATCGGAACCTAATAAGGTCTCTCTGGCCGTTCAGGTCAACAGTTGCATGCGGAGGTGCCGGTTGACCATTTTATTTTTGGTGTGTTGCGATTGGCCTTTCTTCCCCGCCCAATTTACGAATGTTGGCTGCGCCATTGGTGGGTGCGACGAGCTGCTTCGTCTCCAAACACAGCAAACCGACACAGAACACTCACAAACCAAAACAACAAACGTGATTGCGATGGATGGCGGCAGACGACTGGCCCCGCTTCTTCTCTTGCTCTTCGTTCTCTCACAACTTCGTACGTGCCCCCCCCCCGACCTTGATCATAGCCCCGGCCGGCGCCGTTTCGTTAAAAAAAACAATTAAAAAAAACAAAAAAACTGACGCCGCATGCAGAACCCGAGGCCGACGCGCTCGTGGGCTCCGGAGGGCAAAACGTGGCCGGCCTCATCACTTCCTGGGGCAGCTCCTATCAGTACGCTCGTGTGCTCTCCCTTAGCTGTTTTTATTACCAAAGTGGCACTTCGTGGTCTCTGCCTCCCGTTTCCCTTGGGTCCGCCGGCGTGTGGCCGATCTCGTTTACGCGACTGAAAGGGAAAAATTGCGCGCCGCGCGCCTGGCGGCCATTGGTCGATTTCGTAAAATAGTTTACATATCTTGTGTCGCCTGATCATGGTTTTCTGGTTTTTCAGGTTCTCACAGGACGATGTGAAGGTGACTTTCGCGCCCTCTACGGCCTATCAGGCTGCCTTGGCCTACTTGATGGGCCAGGTTGACTTCCCCTTCACCGAGGACGCCCTGCCCGTCGAGCAGCTGGGTACGTTTGTTGTTTATGCCGTTTATTTTTTAATTAATTTTATTAATGTATTATAATTATTCTTTTAACTCCTATTGCGATTGGGCCTACACACGCAGTTCCCTACAACGGCACACAGTTTCCGATGTTGGCCAGCGGGCTGGCGCTCATCTACAATCTGCCCAACACGACCCTCGATCTCGTTCTCAACCGGTACCATTTCACAGGGGACACCGCACACGCACGATCCCACACGCACCACCGCACACGCACACGCACACAACGGCTCATTTTAAAACGGCACGCGTTGTGGCGGCAGAACGGTGCTTGCGGCGATCTGGGTGGGCAACATCACCATGTGGGACGACGTGGCCATTCAAGAGCTCAATCCCGACATGGTCGCTGCCGGAGAGCTGCCCAACAAGAACATCACCCTGGCCTTTGACACGTTCGGCGTTCTCGATCTCACTGCCGTGCGCGCCTCTGTCTTGTGTCTTGAGTCGTGTGTGCGTGTGCGTGTGTGCGTGCGGGCCAATGTGCGTGGTATGCGGTGATGAACATTTGTTGCACTCGCGATCTGCAGGTGCTCACGAGTGCGCTCTGTCGCTTCAGCGCTGATTACTGCGCGGAATTCATCAACGCCATCACCCTCATCGAAAATATGGAGGTCACCCAACGCGGCATGGCCATCCCCTTCAACCACTCGCAGGACCGCCTCTTCTTCGTCCAGGTCCGCCCACACCCATCAAACAAATGGCAACTCTTTATTTATTTTATTCTAAATTATATTTGCAAATTTTCGTTTTTTGGTCAAATACAAACATTAATACTGTTCTAAAAAAACGACGAACAGGAAACGCCGTATAGTATGACCTACAGCGGTTTCAAGGAGGCCATGGACTCGGGCCTGCACCAGGTGCTGATGTACAACAAGGCCGGCCAGCTGGTGAGCCTCAACCTCGACAGCGTCCGGAGCGCCATGGTGGACCAGGACAACTCCACCACCTACTCCATTGCCCTCTCCGACGCCCCTGGTACGCCCTGCCTATCACGTGCGACTCACAAAACTTCACCGCACACACTCACATTCTACCGCACACAACCGCACACGCACACACACGGACCGCACACACAACCTGCAGGAGAGAATTCGTGGCCGTTGTCGCATTTCGAGTTCCTGACGTTGGCCAACAACAGTACGGGCGCGTTCGACTGCGGGGACGTGCAGGACCTGCTGGCCTTCCTCTCGTGGGCGCAGTTCAACGACAAGGCGTCGGAGGTGGCCCAGAACGAAGGCTACGTGCCCCTTAGCAACCACTTCAGAAAACGGTACGCGCCGCACACGCGCGCACGCCGCACACGCCGCACACACAGGCTCATGTTCCGCTTTAGAGTGTTCGATTCGCTGTACAATATTACGTGCCACGGCAAGCGGGCCTTCAACACGGCGGTGCTCCTCGGTGGTGGCGGCTCTTCGCCCACCTACCCCAGTACGCCTCCCCACCCTCCACATTCTCAGCCCCAGAGTGTGTGTGTGTGGTGTGGTGTGTTGCGTGTGCGCTTGTGCGGTGGTGGTGCGTGTGCGTGTGCGGTGTGTGCGGTGTGCGCGGTTGTGTGCGTGTGCAGTTGGTTCAGTCACTGAACGGCTCCCGACAGAGTGGGCCAGCGCATTTGAGTCGAGCACCTTCCTGCTCAAGTACTTCGCATCGACCGACGCGCAGGCACTCACCGACTCACTCGAACTCAACGTCGACTTTGGCGCCACCAGCTCCTGTACGCCACTCTGTGTCCACCCTCGCCACCGCACCCTCCGTGTCAACTGACACAGAACACGACGCGACACGACCAACGACACGACACACGCATTATTTGGGCGGCGCAGACAAGCCCGGTGACGACCTGACCGATCCTGACCTCGGAGTGCTACCGGTGGTGGCCTACGCCATCGCGCCCGCCTACAATGTGCCCGCACTGAGTGGCCTGGTCTGTACCTCCCCCGCGAACAGTCTCAATCGCAGCTGTGATCTGGCACTCACTACTGGCCTGTGTCGTGTGTGTCGTGTGGTGGTCTGTGTGTTGCGCGCGTGGCATGTCGTGCAGACGCCCACGCTGGTGTTCGATCTGCAGACGGTGTCGGACATACTGTACGGGCGCATCACCAAGTGGAACCACGGCAACATCAGCGCGCTCAATCCCGGCGTGGCGCTGCCCAACGCCGACATCCGCGTGGTCGTCACCACCGATGCGGCGCTCGAAAATCTGCTCATGACCAACGCCCTCGCCAACCGCGTTCCCGATTGGACGGTACTTGTCTCTCTTTTCCTCACTACCTCGAACCATACCATGCTCACGCCAGTGTCGTGCGTGTGGTGCGTGTGTCGTGCGTGTGTGTTGTGTGCGTGTTGTGTGTGTGTGTGTGTGTGTCGTGTGCATGTTGTGTGCGGTGCGGCCTGAAAGCTGGGAGCTGACCTCCAGGTGATGTATCCGGTGGTGGGCGATCCCCTGACGCTGGACTTGGCACCCAGCTATGTAGCCTCCACAGCCGCCTCCACTGACAACACCTTCACCTTCTGGAAGTACGCCTTATGCGTGTGCGTGTGCGTGTGTGTGCGTGCGTGTGAGGGTGTGTGTGCGGTGTGCGGTGTGCGGTGCTGCCTGACAAGGTTGCTTTTACAACTCAGTTACTACGAGCTATACCAAACGCGAACAATCAAGATCGGACGAATGATCAACGCGGCGGGCAGCCCGGTCGCGGCCGATTCGCAGTCGGTCGTCTCCGCCGTCGACGACTACGTGCAGGGCCGCGTGCTCGCCCAATCGCCCGGCGCCGTGTTAGGCGAGGGCGCGGGCAGTTGGCCGGTGACGGCCGTGGGAAACTTCCTCGTACACATTGACGACACCGTGGACTGCAACAAGGCCCGGGCCTTAACCGAGTGGCTCTACTGTACCCCCGACTCCCACGTCCGGCCGAAGTGATTCATCGCCATTTGCTAACCACCGCACACGCACAACCGCACACGCACACGCACACGCACGACGGCACACAGGGAGCCAGACGTCGACAGCGGCATCGGACATCGCTACGCGGTACGACTGCGTGGATGCCTCACATTCCACACAAAGGAGGCGGTGACTGAAGCTTGCTTTTTGGTTGTTGTGTCGACGTGCGCAGGACGGGGGCGACGGTGGCGGCGCAGTCGCCGCTGATGTACAAGCGGATGCTCACCTTCATCGCCAGCCTCACCTGCGACGGTCTATTCACCAGCAGCATTCACGGTACATCATTGTCATGAACCATAAACACCGCACACGCACACGCACCACCGCACACGCACCACCGCACACGCACACGCACAAGCACACGGGGCTCAGCAACGAACGGCGTTGTATTGGGGGGCAGGCTGCGTGTGGGAGGGCACGCTGTGCGCCAACGAGGGCCAGTGCGTCGACGGCCGGTGCAATTGCAACAGCGGTCGCGCGGGCGAGTTCTGCGAGAGCGAGTCGTCCACCTCGGACGCCCTCATCATCGGCTTGACCGGTACCTCTCCACAGATTACTCCTCCGCCCGCATTCGGTTGAATTTATGTGAAACTGACACAAGCAATCGCGCATCGCGCCGCACACGCACGCACCGACCGCACACACCTTGATGGGTTGTACAGTCGGGCTGGTGGTTCCGGTGATCGTGTTCTGTGCGCTGCTTCTCTTCTGCCTGTTGCTCGCCTTCGCTCTCTACGTGCGCCGGAACAGGCGACAAAAGTATGCACACAAATAATAAATATTATAATAATACTACAATAATAATAATAATTAATTAATTAAGGACATAAAATAGACAATAAATTCACAATAAGTAATGAACAAATATTATTTCTTATTATTCATAATTATCAATTATCATAGGGACGAGTGGGAGATCGACGTGAACGAGCTCGAGTTCGGGGAGCAGCTGGGGCAGGGCGGGAACGGCCAAGTGCACAAGGGCCTGTGGAAGGGCACCGAGGTGGCCATCAAGATGATGACCGCCGACCAGGTCACCCGCGACATGGAACGTAACTTCAAAGAAGAGGTACGCGCATCCACCCACGTGTGCGGTGTGTGCGGTGTGTGTGCGGTGTGCTGACGGCTGATCCGCCCAACAAGGTGCGCGTGATGACGGCGTTGAGGCACCCGAATGTGGTACTCTTCATGGCGGCGTGCACCAAGCCGCCCAAGATGTGCATCGTCATGGAGTTCATGGCCCTCGGCTCCCTCTACGACGTACGCCCCCTTCCCGTTCCACATCGCGAGCCTTGCCTCATGACACGTGTGTGTCGTGTGTGGCTTGTGTGACGGACGACAGTTCTTGCACAATGAGTTGGTGCCGGCGGTGCCGTTCGGGCTGGTGCTCAAGCTGGCCTACCAGGCGGCCAAGGGCATGCACTTCCTCCACTCGTCGGGCATCGTGCACCGCGACCTCAAGTCGCTCAATCTGCTCCTCGACAACAAGTGGAACATCAAGGTAACCGCACGACACACGACACACAACTCACGAGGACACACGATACAGACAATCGCACACAACCGCACACACACGCACACACGCACACGCACCAAAATGTCAGTACACACAACATGACCCTAACCGCACACGCACAGGTGAGCGACTTTGGGCTGACCAAGTTCAACGAGGAGGTCAAGCGGAGTGGCAAGGGCGGCAACGTCCAGGGCAGCGTCCACTGGACCGCGCCGGAGATCCTCAACGAGTCCGTCGACGTCGACTTCATCCTCGCCGACGTCTACTCCTTCGGTACTGCCCGTGTCGTGTGTGTGCGTGTGCGGTGGTGCGTGTGCGTGTGCGTGTGTGCGTGTGCGTGTGCGTGTGCGGTGTGCGTATGCGTGTGCGTGTGCGATGTTAACGGGTTTGGTGTGACGCAGGGATCATCTTGTGGGAGCTGCTGACGAGACTGCAGCCCTACGGCGGTATGAGCCCGGCGGCGATCGCGGTGAGCGTCATCCGAGACAACCTGCGGCCGCCGCTGCCCGAGGAGGGCGAGAAGGAGGCCGACGGCGCCAGCCACGAGTACAGGGAGCTCCTCACCAACTGCTGGCATCAGGACCCCACCGTCCGGCCCACCTTCCTCGTACCTCACCCAACCTTTTTTTCTTTTCATTTATTTATCTTTTTATCTTTTTATTTATTTATCTGGAGTGTTAATAATATTTATTTATTTATTATTGTTGCGCGTGGGCAGGAGGTGATGACGCGGCTGAGCACCATGTCGGGCGAGTCGGCCTTCACGTCCAAGTCTTCGTCCTCGAGTACGTTATGCGATAGTGTGATTGCTATATATATAGAAATGTATTTACATGCTAACTCAATGATTATGGCGGAGCAGGCAAGATGGGAGTGAGCCACCTATCGAACGGTTCCTGGAGCTCCGTGCCCCACTTCAGCAGTTCCATTCACACCTCAGAGTCCTCCAGTACGCATGACACGACACGACACGACACGACACGACACGACACGACACGACACGACACGACACGACACGACACGACACGACACGACACGACACGACACGACACGACACGACACGACCAATGACACGACACGACCAACGACACGACACGACCAACGACACGACACGACCAACGACACGACACGACCAACGACACGACACGACCAACGACACGACACGACCAACGACACGACCAACGACACGACCAACGACACGACCAACGACACGACCAACGACACGACACGCACATCAATTGACGCTGGCCGATGACTAAGAATGGTTGGCGCGCGCGGTCAGGCAATTCGTCGAATGGCGGCAAGGCGGCGGGCGCGGCGGCAGCGGGCGTGGTTCCGCCCGACGGCGAGGTCACGATCCTGTTCTCCGACATCACCCGCGCGGCCTCTCTCTGGGAGTTCAACGCCGCCGCAATGAAGGAGGCCACGCTCCTCCACAACCAGCTCCTCCGTTCGCTCCTCAAAGAACACCAGGTACGGCTCACAACTATAACATTCCTCCAACATTCCTCTCTCTCGCGCTCTCTGGCGTGTGCGGCGTGTGCAGTTTTTTGCTGACAATGGCACACGCACGCGCAGGGCTACGAGGTGGTGTTCATCAGAGACAAGAACAGCGGCGAGGGCTCCTTCTGCATGGCCTTCCAACGCACCTCCGACGCACTCCAATGGTGCGTGTTGTGTTGCGTGTCGTGCGATGTGTGTGCGTGCGTGTGTGTGCGTCGAACTCACGCGGTGTGTGCGCAGGTGCATGGCTGTGCAGCAGGAGCTGCTGAAGGCGGAGTGGCCCGAGGCGCTGCTCGACCACCCGGGCGCGGCCGAGGAGTGGGGCGACGTCGACGACCGGGTCATCTTCCGCGGGCTGCGCGTGCGGATGGGCATCCACGTCGGCCGGCCCCGCATGGTGCGCGATGCCATGTCCCGCCGCATCGAGTACATCGGACCTGTCGTCAACGCCGCCGCACGCATCACCTCCGTCGCCCACGGCGGACAGGTCTGTTCCCACCACACGCGCACACACACGCAAACGCACACGCACACACGCAAACGCACACACACACACACGCCGCTGACACGTTGTTTTGGTTGCATAGATCCTGTTGTCGCAGGCGGCGTATGAGAAGGTGAAGGACTCGTCGGCCGAGCTGGCGCGGGAGAAGAACCGGTTCGCGTGCCTGGGCCGCTTCGAGATGCCCGACGCGGTCGACGCCCGACGGGCCAAGGTGTGGGAGATGCGGGTCGCGGGCCTCGAAGGCCGCTTCTTCAACGGCGTCGCCCGCAAGACCGGCGGCGCCGACGCCGACGACAGCGTCGACAGCGAAGGCAACCACAACAGCTCCAGGTATCTAACTTTGTTCTTTTTCTTTTTAACAATTTAGTTACTAACCGCACACACCGCACGCACGACCGCACACACACCACCGCACACGCAGAAATGAAGATGATGAAGACGGTGATGATGGTGATGACGGGGCGGAGATGGAGGAGAACGTGGGCGAGCAGGGGATGATGTTCAAGGAGGACAACTTCCTGACGTCGGCCAACCTGTGCCGGTGGGTGATCGACTTCAAGGAGATCCAGCTGGGCCGGCAGGTCGGGCTCGGGTCCTACGGCGTCGTGTTCAAGGGCCGCTGGAAGGGCGTCGACGTCGCTGTCAAGAAGTTCGTCAAACAGAAGCTCGACGAGCGGCGCATGCTCGAGTTCCGCGCCGAGATGGCCTTCCTCTCCGAACTCCACCACCCCAACATCGTCCTCTTCATCGGTACTCACCGCACACACACACACACGCACGCACGCACGCACCGCACGCACGCACCGCACACACCACACGCACTGATGGTTGATGGCGAAATGCAGGCGCGTGCGTGAAGCGGCCGAATCTGTGCATTGTGACGGAGTTCGTGAAGCAGGGTTCGCTCAACGATCTGCTGATGGACTCGAGCGTGCGGCTGCCGTGGAACCAGCGCATGCGCATGCTGCGCTCGGCGGCCCTGGGCGTGAACTACCTCCACTCGCTCTCGCCCTGCATCGTCCACCGCGACCTCAAGCCCTCCAACCTCCTCGTACGCCGCACACATCTCACCGCGCACGCACACACCAAACCGCACACGCCATCATCAGGCGACCGCACGCGTGAAAGCTAACTCGCTGGTGATCAGGTGGACGAGAACTGGAACGTGAAGGTGGCGGACTTCGGGTTCGCGCGCATCAAGGAGGAGAACGCCACCATGACCCGCTGCGGCACGCCCTCATGGACCGGTACGCAAGCACACATGCACTCGTCAACCTCTTCCATCGCCGCACGCACACACTCACCCGTGTGCGGTGTGTGCGGTGTTGCAGCGCCGGAGATCATTCGCGGGGAGAAGTACTCGGAGAAGGCCGATGTGTACTCGTTCGGGATGACGATGTGGCAGATGGCCACGCGCAAGCAGCCCTTCGCCGGGCGCAACTTCATGGGGGTCTCGCTGGACGTGCTCGAGGGCAAGCGGCCGCAGCTGCCCGCCGACTGCCCGCTGGCCTTCGGCAAGACTGTCAAGCGGTGCTGGCATGCCAAGCCCGACAAGCGGCCCTCCATGGACGAAGTGCTCATTGTGCTCAACCAGCTCACTGGCGACCACTCCCTTGAAGACCACGATGGCGACTCCAGCATCGTCCTCCCCTAACATTCCCTGTAAGCCACCAAGGAAAAATTCTTCTAGTCCAAAGGACACTCATTATCATGGCCCATGACCACCTTCACTTGCCAACATCACCTGTGTGGGCATGTGAGTGTGTGCAATATTCATCAAAGCACTGTGCAAAATACAATCAGAAGATGACCCTGCACAGCTGTGATGTTGGTGCTGTGTTTGGTGGGTAAGTGAATGGAGCCAAAGTGACAACTGGGGACCCTGGTGTGCTGGCATGAGGGATGTCTGAGGAAGCATGGAACAGTAAACTGCAGTGCTCTTCCACCCTGTCTGCCATGACCTTTGGTAGGACCCACAAGTATGTTGGGCTATCCATTGATGTTGAAGAATCCAGTGAAGCTCGATCAGTCACCCCCTGTGTGCCACTAGCTGTCCGCAAAAATTCGTACGAAATTAATTATGAAGGCAGTCACCCTTGAGACAACTGAACAAACTGGTATTGATTGATTGATTCCATCCATGGAGGCCAGCCAACAGCCGAGACCGAGGGTGGCCGCCCTCATGGCCATCTTTGCTCAGCCTGCGGGCTCCCATTCCACAACTACAACTCCGAACTCGCCCGCCCCTGGCCCTGCGAGTGCCCTCTCACCGCGCACGGCCAGGCTGCTGGGCGTGACCCCCGCAGGCGACACCATCAAATCTCCCCCCACGACTACTAGTAGTACCACACCCCCGCGAACCACAACCACAACCGCAGCTCCAGGCTCGTCGTCGCCCATCTCTCCACGGTAACCTCCCTTTTTTTATGATTTCACTTTATTTATAAATAAATGTACTCAAATATTTCTTAGCGGCCACCTAGGTTATTCATTTATCTATCAAAATATATTACTCATCTTATTTATCTCCTTATTTTTATTCATTTATTTTTAATTATTTTTGCAGAGGCGAAGTGGGGGTGAACACGGGAGGAGGAGCAAAGCGACCGCCGCCGCGACCGCCGCGGGTGCGCCGCAGCCAGAGCCGATCGGAGGACTTCTCGGCCTGCCCTCCGCCCGGCTTCAGCCCCGTCACCCTCGAGACCGCCCAGTTTGGTGCCGGCGGCGGCACTGCGCCGAGCGGCACCGGCGGGCCCGTTGCAACCGCCGGAGCGCAGCCGAAGGGCCGGAGCCGCCGGCGCTACGGCGGCGGCAGCAGCGGCCGGCGCAGGCGGCGGTACGGCAGCCGGGCCGGCCGCGGCTCGGGCATTCTATCGGACGGCGAAGGCGACAGCGACGCGGAGGAGAGCGACGACGTCGACGACGACAGCGTCGACAATAGCGAAGACGGCGACGGCGACAAGAATGAAGACGACGACGAGGCCGAGCTGATCTTCAACGAGGAGGACGAGGCGATTCACGTGCACAAGGCCTACAGGGAGAGCATGCACCTGTCGGTGTGCCCCTCGCGCATCGCCGCCGCCACAGTCGTGGGCTCGCTGAGCGAAGACAACCTGAGCCTGGTGGCGGGCAGCGCGGCTGACAAGACGACAACCCAATCGGGTGGTGGCGCCAGCAAGGACGGCAGCAAGCCAAAGGAAAAGGAAAAGGAAAAGAAGAAGAAACGCGCGATGACCTTTGGTCAGCTGCGGACGCTGCTGACGCACCACAAGGACACGGGTGACCGGCACGGCTCCAAGGGCAAGGTGGGCTCGGAGGAGCGCGAAAAGGAGAAAGAACGAAAGCGAGGCGAGAAGGAAAGAGAGAAGAGCGAACGCGCGGCCAACAAGGCCAACGGCAGGACACGCAAGGACCTGCACGCCACCACCGCCCCGGCCCACCATACGTCGACGTCGTCTTCTTCGTCGTCGTCGCCAGCAACGTCGCGCCAGGCCCTCACCAGCAGCCGATCGCCGTCGCACTCGCGCAGCCCGTCGACCTCGTCGCCATCCCACTCGCGAAGCCCGTCGCTGACGTCATCCGTGTCGCCGGCCACGTCATCAGCGTCGACGTCGCTCGCGACCGAGGCCCACCCGTACAAGAACCACGCCGGCCAGACGCCGCTGCACATCGCCATCGACACCTTCGCCGAGCGGATCGGCAAGGGCCGCGACGACGAAAGCGACGACCTCGAGACCGTGTCAGCCGTCATCGACGATGCCAAGGTACGTGTTGTGTGCGCATTGTGTGCGCATTGTGTGCGCGTTGTGTGCGCGTGTGCGTGTGCGTGTGCGTGTGCGTGTGCGTGTGCGTGTGCGTGTGCGTGTGCGTGTGCGTGTGCGTGTGCGTGTGTGTTGCACTCGGTTTGGCTGACGAACATTGGGGTGTAGGAACGAGGCTACCTGGACGAGACGGACGGGTCCGGATGGACGGCCCTGCACTGCGCGAGCTACAAGGGCAACTGCCGCCTCATCACCCTCCTGCTCAAGAAGGGCGCCGACCCGTGCATCGCCACTGCCGAGGGCACCACCGCGCTCATCTACTTCCTGCGGTACTCACCTCCGCCCATGTGTCGTGTGTGTCGTGTCGTGTCGTGTCGTTTCATGTGTGTCGCGTGTGTCGTGTGTCGTGTCGTGTCGTGTCGTGTGGTAGCTGATGTGTGGTGCGAGTGTAGGTATGGTGGTGGACTGCGGGAGATGGGCACCAAGGAGGACGAGGAACCGGAGGAGAGCCTGATGACGCTCCGCAAGTTCATCGAACACGGGGCCAACCTCAACGCCCAAAACAGCAACGGCGAATGTACGCCCACCACCCACCAACTCATCGTTGTCGTCACCCTCATCGTCGTCGTCGTCGTCGTCGTCGTCGTCATCATCATCATCATCTGTACAGATCCGTTGCATTCGGCGGCGCAGAGCGGCAAGGCCAAGCACGTGGAGATTCTGCTCAACGCGCACCGAGGCAAGAAGGGCAAATCCACCCAGCCCAAAGCCGTCGACCCCAACACCCTCAACAAGTACCCTTCTTTCTATTTATTTATTTATTTATTTATTTATTTATTTATTTATTTCGTAATGTTTGTTTTATTATGAATGTTTTTGATTTCCCAGAATGTCCAGTTTATTTCTTTTTGAAAAAACATGCTGACGTCATGGTCAGGTGGGGCGAGACGTGCCTGCATGTGGCGGCGCGGATGGGCAACACAAAGGTGGTGCGGCATCTGGTGCGGCACAGCGACATCGACGTATCGATCGTGGGACCCGACGGCACCGCGCGCGAGGTGGCCCTCAAGTACGGCCACCGGGGCGTCATCGAGCTCATGGGCGGCCGCGGCAAGGACGGCTACGGCGACATCACCCTCCACCGCTTCACCTCCGCCCCCGACCTCGCCAAAATCGTCGCCTGCCAGCGCCTCGTCCGCAAATGGCGCCGCTACCGACGCAGCTTCCACTTTGCCGGTATGTCGTGTGTGGCGTGTGTGTCGTGTGTGTCGTGTGTGTCGTGTGTGTCGTGTGTGTCGCGTGTGTCGCGTGTGTCGCGTGTGTCGCGTGTGTCGCGTGTGTCGCGTGTGTCGCGTGTGTCGCGTGCGTCGTGTGTCGTGTGTGCCGTGTGTGCCGTGTGGTGCTGACCAGGTCGTTGGTCGACGTCGCAGTGCAAAGCTGGCGGAGCCGCTACGAGTCGACGCCGCTGAAGAAGCGGTTCAGGAAGGTGCGCGAGATTGTCGACAATCAGGCGCGCTACACCGACAACCTCCGCAAGATCCACCTCCACTACTGGGCGCCGTTCCGGGCCGAGGCCGAGCGACGCTCCGGCGGCAGCGGCGGCGGTGCGCTGACCGAGGCGCAGGTGCGGGACCTGTTCGGCAACCTGGACAAGATCCTGACCCTGGCCGAGGGCATGACCGCCGCCCTGCGCGAGCGGGTCAACAACCTGCCCGACCACCACGACCAGCCCATCAGCGACAGCTTTGTACAATATGTACGTGCGTGTGTGCGGTCGGTGTGTGCGGTCGGTGTGTGCGGTCGTGTGTGTGCGATTGTGTGTGTGCGGTCGTGGGCTGACTCCGAAACGTGTAGATTCCAGCGCTGAGCCTGTACAGTGGGTACTTCCGCAACTACGACACGGCGACGGACACGCTGCGCATGCTGGCCAAGCAGGACTCGTTCACGCAGTTCCTGCAGACGATCAACAGCGACGAGGCGGGCGCCGGCGCCGGCAAGACCTCGTGCCTCCACCTCGAGAGCTTCCTCATCATGCCCGGTACCGCCTCCGGCGCACTCACGCAACACGCGCGCTTTGCTCACCGCACACGCATGATCGCACACGCCATCGCACACGCATGATCGCACACGCATGATCGCACACGCACACGCGCCACCGCACACACCGCGAGAACAGTGCAACAGATCCCGCGGTACATCTTGCTGCTGGAGGACCTGAAAAAGATGACGACCTACAGCAAGCACGTCGAGCTGCCCCACACCCTCGAGGCGCTTCAGGCCATGAAAGACCTCGCCGAGCGCATCAACACCAAAAAGGGCTTCTCCCTCGCCATCGAACTTGTACGTAGGCGTGTCGTGTGCTTTGTGTGTCATGTGCTTTGTGTGTCGTGTGTTTGTGTGTCGTGTGTCGTGTGTCGTGTGTGTCGTGTGTCGTGTGTGTCGTGTGTGTCGTGTCGTGTGTCGTGGCTGATTGGGGGGTCAGGTGGCGAAGGTGCAGACGAAGCTGCTGGGGCTGTACGAGCCGCTGGTGACCAACGAGCGACGATACGTTCACGAGGGCTGGTGGACCGCCGCCGAGGACCCCAAGCACCTCATCCAGTCTCGTCTCGCGCGACACCTCGCCGGCGCCAAGAAAGAGGTAACACCCAACCGCACACACACACACACCCAACCGCACACACACACACACACCCAACCGCACGCGCGCCACCGCACACACCCAACCGCACGCACTGACGCACACACGCACGCACGCACACAGGTGGGCAAGTTCTACGCGTTCGTGTTCAACGACTGCTTCGTGCTGGCCAAGCCGACCAAGGACAAGGAGGCCAAGCCCGAGGACGCCTTCTACCAGTTCGTCTCCCTGACCAAGTGGACCTCGGTCCAGAGCCAGTTCTTCCCCGTCACCTGGGGCAAGCACAAGGGTACCCTATCACCGTGTGTGCGGTGTGCGTGTGCGGTGTGTGCGGTGTGCGTGCTGACGTGTCGTTGGCCTGTGCGGCGCGCGCAGACGAGGACGTGCAGGGGCTCAAGGTGAAGAAGACGGCGTCGGGCGCCAAGACGAAGTGGCTGCTGGGCGACAGCAAGTACCAGAACGTGCTCTGGCTGGAGAAGCTCCGGACCCTCAACGATGCCAAGGACAGGTAACACACACGACACACGACACACACGACACACGACACACGACGCGACAGCAACACACGACGCGACACGACACACGACACGCGCTTATTTTATGTTTGCGTCGTGGTGGTGGCAGCCAATTCGGGCACACGCAGCAGCTCAGCCGGTCGATGATTTACCTCACGCAGAAGGGCGAGAGCGCGCTCAGCCTGCTCCACAAGAGCCAGCAGCAGCTGGACGACGTTGCCGATCAGTGAGATCATATCGAAATTTCCTATTTATTTACTCGATTATAACATGAATACTCAAACCACATGTGAAGGCTTAGAGTGCTCTTCTCGGCCATGGCGGCCTGATGGTGTAGGCGTCTGAGTAGGGGTACTCGTAGCAGATCTTGTCCTGCTGCATGAGGACCTCGATCGACTTGCCCACCTCGACGCTGTAGCGGTTGTCCACCGTCTCCGTGTCTATGGTGATGATGATGATCTTCTTGTCGGTCACGGCGTCGTTGACGGCCTCCACCATGTCGGCGTCAGTCTGCCTGAATAAATCGTCCGCCAATCCCTCAGCCACGAAGGTTTAGTTGGCAGTGCCCATTGGTGCATACAGGCCAGTGGCAAGTGGCCAAGAACTAAAAGCCACCAGCTGCGTTGTGGTTGTTTGTTTTACTACAACACTTCCAAAGAGTACGACGGCCATGCAGCAGCGCAAGTCCCTTGGTGCCCTGGTGGGCCTTCTCCTTCTTGTGGGTCTGGTGGCCTCTTCCTCCGCCCAACAACGCCAATTCTCTGCCTATTTCCAAAGCTGGTCTGACCACTGGGTACCAACATTGCTACCTATTTACTGATTTCATGAATTCATTTATTTTAGTTTTACCCCTCAAGAGTAAACACAATGCGTCATTATTTTTATTTTAATTAATTTACATTTTCTTCTTTTTATTCTCTGCAGGTCTCCAACGGTGCCAACAGCGGCCTAGCCCAGTTGCCGGCCTACGCCAACGTCGCCCTGGTCGCGTTCGCCCAGCCCAGCTGCAGCGTACGCCGCACCACCGCCAGCCCAGAGCGCAGCTAAACCAAAACTAAACTCACACCTCACCGCGTAGTATGGGGGCAACCTGAACCTGGCCGGGACTGGGCTGAGCTTTTCGTACGACGGGTCCACGCTCAAGCAGGCCATCGACGCACTCCGCCAGCGCAACCCCACCACCAAGGTCATGCTGGCCGTCGGCGGCGCCACCTACACGTACCACCTACACCCAGCGCCCCACCCTCGAGTGCGAATAATCTGAAGAGTGTACACGCGCGTGTGCGTGTGCGATGGTGTGTGTGCGTGTGCGTGTGCGGTCGGGTGTGCGTGTGCGGGCGTGTGCGTGATGGCAGGGATTGGAGCGCGTTGAACGCGAGGGCGATCGCGAATCTGGTGAACGACTTTGGATTCGACGGGGTGGACATCGACTACGAGCCCTCCAACCCGAACTGCCAGCGGATGGGCGGCACCGTGCGCTGCGGCAGCGACGCCAACTTCATCTCCGTCATCGACCAGCTCCGCGGCGCACTCCCCCAGGGTACTCCGCCACTACTGCCTGCCTCACATGCCACTGTGTGTTGGTCACGCGTGTGCGTGTGTGTGCGTGTTGTGCGTATCAGGCCAGAAGCTGATCTCCATTGCCGCGTGGAGTGTGGGCGCCTACGGCACCGGCAAGTTCTACAACGCCCAGCCAATTGCGGCCGACACTGGTAAGTGTTGCCCAATCACTTTTTTTTTGCTCATTTTTACTTGTCATATGGTGCAGTGCAACCCACCAATCGGAAACCTGGCTATTTTATATATTTATATATGCATTTATCTGCATTGTTGGCTTGTCGCTTGTGAACCGACAGGGCTGCTGGTGAACCCGCTGGCGGCCCGCGGGAACAAGATCGACCTGCTCAACGTGATGAGCTACGACGCCAGCAACGCCTACGACCCGGTGGTAGCCCTGACCGCCTACCGGGCCATCTACAGCGGCCAGATCAACATGGGCGTCGAGGTACCTCGAACTACTAATCCCCCTCGAGGGGCTCGTGGCCACGTCAGCAGCCTGGAATGTGGTCGTTGCATTCCTTTTCACAACGGTTGTGGCACTCGCAGGTGCCGCCGGAGGCCTGGGGCGGCCATGTCTACACTGTCGACGCCATCAAGCGCCTCGGCAAGGCTGTAATGAGCGACTCCAAGGCTGGTAAGATATTTTTATACTATATACGACGATCGGCGCCGGCGGTTCGTCTTTAGTTCGGGGCTGTTCAGAATATGTTCGATATGTTGTTGGCTAATGTAATGTGTTGCAGGGATGATGTTGTGGAGCGTGCAGAAGCAAACCAACCAGGCGACGTCGCCGTCGTACCCGAGCGCCAACCTGGCGGCCACCACCATTTGCCAGATACTGGGCCTCCCCAGCTGCTCGCAGCCCATCAACCCCTTTGCCTCCTCCTGAAGATGGCAGCAGCAGAAGAAGAAGAAGACAATGTGATGATGGTGGTGTCTGTCTCACCAGCTTTGGTGTAGAGTAGGTTCACACAGCGGGCAAGCCGTGCAGGCGGCGGTTCTCGCTTGCAGCTGGCGCACTGCTGGTGCTGGTTTGATCGCGTTGCGGGCCGTCTGCGTCGTCTTGATGATGATGATGGGTGGTGAGGGGGGCGGGCACGGGGGCGGCCAGGGGCGGGTTGGGACGGGCTGGGGTGGGGCGTGTGGCGTAGTGGTAGGCCGCGTACGTGAGGCCCGCGGTGCCTGTAAGTCCCACGGCCACGGTGGTGCGCGGCGAGTGGCGATACGCTGCCGTCACTGATTCCATCCACAAAGATTGTGTTGGATTCCATTTCGCATTCAAATTCACAGATTGGAAGAAGCATGCTACATCCAAGGAAGATGATGGTTGTTTGGTACCGACGGGGATGCAGGCGGCTCCAGCGACGCGGACCAGGGAAGGCAGCTTGTGGCGCAGAACAGGGATCATGTGGATGAGTGAAGATGCTGTGCAGCAGTTGTTGATCTTGGCGAGATGGCGCGAGTCTTGTCTAACATCTTTTCAGCGCGGGTTGCTACAGCGCTCGACAGACGACTCGCAGAAGAACTGCCGAAAAGGTGCAGAAACGGCCCCAAGTAGAAGATGTAGAAGATTGAAGATGAAGCAAATGATGAAGGACCGCGTGTAGGGGCTCACTTGTTCATGTGAATGTGCAGAGCAGCCAGCTGACCGCTCGAAAGATAATGAAGGCGATGATGAAGCAAAATGAGAGAGGAGAGAAAAGTGTGTGGGGGGTCTTAGATCTTGTAGGAGTAGTCCTTGCCCTCCTCCCTCTCGCAGTCGGGCGGGAACGACTGCCTCTTGTCCTCGTAGTACTTGCTCCTGTTGGGTGCGTGTCATTGTTTGTTAGGAAAACGCACACGCACACACGACACACGACACGACACACACTCGCTCAAAGCGAATGGTGGACGGTGTGATGGTAGTAGTGGTACCTGTAGTCGCCCTCCTTCTCCTTGGAGTAGGTCACGTAGAGCACGCGGCGGGGCTTGTCGCTGAGGTTGGGCGCTGATGATAAATAAATAAATAAATAAAATACATTTATAATTATAAAATAAAATAAAATAAATTTGTGAGTTCAGCGAACGCGACCGAGAAGAAGAAAGAAGAAGCGTTCACTCATTCATTCGTACCCGAGCGGTGAGGAACGTAGGAATCAAAGAAGACGATATCGCCCGGATTGGTTTCCAGAGGAATCCTGGGCGAGAAGAGAACGATGATGGTGAGAAGAAGAGCGAAAAAAGAATGAAGAAGAATGAAGAGGAGGGGGGGGGCAAGAGGGAGAGGAAGGGGTACCATGTGTACTTGTCGACGAGCTCCTGCGGCACGGCCTGGAACTCGGGACCGAGGAGGCCCTTGTTGTGCTCGCCCGCCACCACCTCGAGGCAGCCTGATGGGAAACAACACCAGCCGTGTAAGCCAATCACTGCACTACGCGACGCGACACGACACGACACACACTCACATGCGCGCGCTAGATGGCAACGCACCGTTCTCCTTGGTGGCCTGATCGATGTTGACCATGATCGAGATGTGCAGGCTCTGGCCGTACATCCACCAGCCCGCGGCGTGATCCTGTGTGCGCACACGCGTGTGTGTGGTGTGTGTCACGTTGAGTAATCGCACACGCACACACACACACACACGCACACACGCACCTGGTGAGGCTCGAAGCCCTCGCCGCCGGGGTACTTGAAGTTGATCTTCTCCTTGTGGAGGATGGCTCGGTCGCCGTTGAAGAGCTGGGTGACGAGGTGGAGGAAGCGCTCGCCGTTGAAGGCCTCGTTGAAGCCCGCGTGGAAGTCGAAGAAGTTCTCGAGCCGGTGGAGCAGCCGACGGCCCTCGTCGTCCTGGCGCACCGACTTGGAGAAGTACATCATCCACTTGCCGGGCGTCTCGGACCACGTCTCCACATCAGCGGTCCACTATCAGATGAGAAATGATGAGAAGAGATCAGCATTGACGATCACGATGGTCGTCGTCGTAAGTTAGCATTGTAATTGATTTTGAATCGAAATTCAATGTAAATGCAAAAATTGAAATGGTGCTACACGATGGCATGCCATAATCTCAGAAACTTTGTACATAAACGAAAACAAATCCAAATTCAATGGTAATGGGCGCTATAAAATTGGCTTTATAGAGATGAGAAAGAGAGAATTGGGTGATTGATGGTGGGTAAACAGCGTACCTTCTTGAGATTTTCGATTTGCTGGGGCGTCCAGAAGTCCTGGGCCTTGATGTAGAGGAAGCCGTCGCGCTTCCACGATTCCAGCTGCGCCGGCGTGAGGTCAATCAAAGCCGTTTCGTTCTCGGTCGCCATTTGGTTTTTTTAAAAAGAAAGAAAACAAATCTATCGAACAAATCGATGGAAGATGGATGGATGGAAGAGAGAGAAGCCTTGAAAAGAGAGCCCCGGGCGTCGTCCGATCTTGATCTGGTCAACACAACACAAAGACCAGGCGACGAAAAAAACCGGCCTTTGCGGGCGAAAGCCACTAGTCGCGAAATTTCGACCGCTGGCCGGCGAACGGTCGCCCCGCAACCAATCGCGTTTTTTTCTTTTCCACTAATTAAACCACGTATTTATTAAATCTCGCGACCAATTGGTCCGCAATGTGATCTATTGTCGGGCCTTCTTTGGCGCGGGCACCTTGTGCAATGTCAGGTCGAGCGTGTGCGGCGTGTGCGGTCGAGCGTGTGTCGTGTCGTGTCGTGTCGTGTCGTGCTTAGAAGTCGAAGGCCTGGGCGATGTTGAGCCAGAGGAACTGGTAGGGGGCGAGGCTCGCCTGGAGCACGCCGTCGACCACGGAGTACTGGATCGACGTCAGGATGTCCACAAAGTAGGTCAGCCCCTCGTTATTCTCCGCGTTGAGAACTGTGTGTGCGGTGTGTGCGGTGGTGTGTGCGGTGGTGTGTGCGGTGTGCAAGAATGTTAGAAATGCAACACGCGAAAATGAGTGTGTGCGGTGTGAGCGCCGCCGTACGGGTGCCGCCGAGGGCGAGCTCGTGGGGGTGGGTGTGGGTCGGGTTGTCGGCCTCGGGCGCGGGCGGGGTGTCGCCGGCCGGCAGCGGGATGGCGACGTCGAGCGGGCGCGAGCTGAGGTTCGACACGCACAGCATTTTGTCGAACGACGTCGAGCGAATGTAGGCCGCCACGCGCTTCTCCGCGCAGTCGATCCAGTACAGCGTGCCCGTACCGAACGACGGGTGCTTCTTGCGCGTGCGCACCATGTGGCTCACCGCATGGAACAGCGACCCCGGCTCCTGTCGGTTGAAGGGGGCGGTGGGGGCGTGAGGGGGTGAGAAAGGGCGACGGAAGGGGGCGGGTGGGGGCGGGTGGGGGCGACGTACGGCGTACTGGGAGTCGACGTTGACGATGTCGTAGCCGAAGGTCTCGTCGTTGACGACGGGGGCGTAGAGCTTGGTCGAGGTGGAGAAGCCGCCGTTGGGCTCCTTCGCCTTCCACTGCATCGGCGTGCGCACCTGCGCTCCACCCCAACCCAACCCACGCACACAACTCAACAAACCGCACACGCGCGCGACACACGCACGACCGCACACGCCGCACACGCGCGCAAGGGAATGAGGGGCCGTACGCCGTTGCGATCGGGCAGCCAGATGTTGTCGCCCATGCCGATCTCGTCGCCGTAGTAGAGGATGGGCGAGCCGGGCAGGGTGAACAGCAGGCTGTACGCCAGCTCGATCTGGCGCCGGTCGTTGTTCATCTGTGCGACCGCACACGACACACACACACGACGACACGACACGCACCGCGTGAGCTACAGGGTCGCTCGGCATAAATGGTGGTGGTGTGGGGGGGAACTGTGCCGCTCGGTTCGTACCAGCGGGGCGAGGCGTCGCCTGATGCCGAGGTTGATCTTCATGCGGGGCTCCGGCGCGTACTGCTCCCACATCCACTTACGCTCCGCCGGTGTCACCTGTCGACCACACCACAGCAGGTGAGCTCGGGAGGGGGCGGGAGGGGGCAGGAGGGGGCGGGTGGGGGCTGGGTGGGGGCGGACCATCTCGAGGGTGAGCTCGTCGTGGTTGCGGAGGAAGGTGACCCACTGGCAGTTTTCGGGGATGAGGGGCGTGTCGGCCAGGATGTCGCGCAGGGTGGTGCTCTCCTCGCTCCGGATCGACAGATAGATGCGCGGCATCACCGGGAAATGGAACCTGCGCGTCATGTGTGTGCGTCGTTCGGAGTTAAAACCGCACTCACCGCGTGTGCGCACACGCCCACCGCACACACGCGCGCGTGCGGTACCCCATGTGGAATTCGTCGCCTTCGTCGCCAAAGTACTTGCGGACGTCGATGGGCGGCTGGCAGGCCTCGGCCAGGATGACCCGCCCCGTGTAGTTGTCGTCCAGCCACTTCCGCATCCGCTTCAGGAACACGTGCGTCTGTGGCAAATTCTCGCAATTCGTGCCCTCCTCCTCGACTGTCGTGTGCGTGTCGTGTGCGTGTCGTGTCGTGCGTGTCGTGTCGTGTCGTGTCGTGTCGTGTCGTGTGTCGTGTGTCGTGTCGTGTCGTGTCGTGTCGTGTCGTGTCGTGTCGTGTCGTGTCGTGTCGTGTCGTGTCGTGTCGTGTCGTGCATGTGCGTGTCCGTGTCGTGTTCCACCGATTAAGAAAGAAAAAAAGGAAAAGAAAATGAAAAAGAGGAGCGTACAGAGGTAGGGGACGGCATCGACGCGGAAACCGTCGACGCCGATGTCGAGCCAGAACTTCATCACGTCGAACATCTCCTGCTGCACCTTGGGATTCTCGAAGCTGCCCCACCGCACACGCACACGCACACGCACACGCACACGCACACGCACACGCACACGCGTGAGTTTCACCGCACGACACGACACACGACACCTGGGCTGGGGGAGGCGCACTTAAGGTCGGGCTGCGAGGAGTAGAATCGGTGCCAGTAGTACTGTCCCGCCTTCTCGTCCCACGTCTGCCACACCCGCGAGTGTCGTGTCATTGTGTGTCGTGTCGTGTGTGTCGTGTGTGTCGTGTGTGTCGTACCCAGTTGGACTCTTCGGTGTCGATAAAGATGATGCGGGCCTCGTTGTACTTCTTGGGGTCGTCGGTCCACACGTAGTAGTCCCGGTAGGGCGAGTTGCGGTCCTCCCGCGCCATCTGGAACCACTTGTGGTCCGCCGACCTGCGAAGATCGCACGCACGACACGACACACGACACGACACACAACACGACACGCGGCTCGTGTCAGTGACGAGGCAAAAGAAAAATTCGAATCGGGCCGGGTACGGGGGCGTACGTGTGGTTGGGCACAAAGTCGACGATGACTCGCATGCTACGCTCGTGCACCGCATTCACCTGCGCCAAATAGATAAATAAACGTGTTGTTAAAGACAACGTGTCGTGTGTCGTGTCGCGTCGCGTCGTGTCGTGTGCGTGTCGTGTGCGTGTCGTGTCATGTGCGTGTGCGTGTCGCGTGGCGTGTGCGTGTCGTGCACGTGTGGCGTACAAAGGTCTTGAAGTCGGCGAGGTTTCCGTAGTCGGGGTGGATGTCGACGTAGTTGGCCACGTCGTAGCCGTCGTCCTTGAGCGGCGACGGATAGATCGGCAACAGCTGTCGTGTTTCATTCGTGTGTAGTGTGTGTGTGTGCGTGTAGTGTCGTGTCGTGTGAGTGTCGTGTCGTGCGCGCGCGCGCGTGCGTGTGTGCATGCGTGTCGTGTCAGTGCAAGGAATGCAAGGAATGCGATCGAGAGAGAGGGGAACGCACCCAGAGGCAGTCGACGCCGAGGGAGTGGAGGTAGTCGAGCTTGGAGGTGAGGCCCACCAGGTCGCCATGGCCGTCTCCGTTCGAGTCGCAGAACGCCCTGTGCCCCGCACACGACACACAACGCACGACACACGACACACGACGCACGACGCAACACACACGTACGTTGTGAGATTGGGCGAAGGAGCAAAGCTGTGGGGTGAGTGAAAACGCATTACCTGACGTAGACCTCGTAAAAGACCGCCTCCTTGTACCAGTACTTCTTGTCGCCCGGGAAGGAGACCTCGTCGTGGCTGCCCCCCCCCGCACATGAGGCACGACACGACACACGACACGCAACGCACGACACACGACACACGACACACGACACACGACACGCAACGCAGCACGACACACGACACTAAACGCAGAACACAAGGTGGTGTGCGCACGTACACGGAGTAGTCGGGCAATTCGGTGTTGAGCTGTTCGGGCTTGCCCTGCCTGTTGCGTCGCCCCCCCCCCCAAGTGTCAAAACGAAAGCAAAGAGCGAAAACGAAAGCGAAAGCGGAGAGAAAGAACGAAGAGAGACGAAAGAGCGAAGAGAGAACGAGACGGGAGGAAGGGGTTCATACAAGTTGTGGAAGTCGGCGACGAGGCCCTGGACGAGGGAGTCGCGGCGGGTGAGGACGACGCCCGAACCGCTCATGGCGAGGGAGCTTCGGCGCCGCATGAGCGGCGGAATGGCGCTGGCCACCTCGGCGGGGGCCACCACGCTCGTGGCTTCATCTTGCGTCGACGTCTGCAGATCCGATCCAGTGCGCCCACCAAAAAAAAAGGAGTAGAAATAAATAAATATCAAAAAAAAAGTAAAATGTAGATGGGAGGTTTGCGAAGAAGAGGGGAAGTGTACACTCATGTTTATATATCTTCGTATTTATATCTAATGTCTCTTGTTTGGGAAATAAGAAGCTGTGTTGTGTGCCTGGGGTGGGGCTCTCTGTGAGGGCTGGAGTCTGCGGGGTGACGGAACACACACGGACAGAGGCCAGTGGGATGACGTGTTGTGGAAGGTGCGAGTTGGGCTGGCGTGCCCTCTGGTAAGTCCCCTGCTTTTCCGCTTGAGATTTCCACCAGCCCTTTAGGCATGCTTGCCATGCCTTGGCGAATTCTGTGGAATTTTGCCTGTTCTTCTACCACTACATGAAACAAATTTTATGAACCAAACCAGTGCTTGTCTGGAGATGACAAAAGAAGAGGAGGACACAGAACAACAGCTATGTCCTGGTGGCTGTGCCCAAGCACTTTCCACCCTGTTTAACTTGGTGTGGATGAAAAACAGCCAAATGCCTTTTTTGTACAGATACTTGATTTTTGTGCTAAGCAAAAAGGGTCACTGACCCTTTTTCATGAACACTTGGTTTGAAGGAGGAGCTCCTGCTTGCACTGTTCCATCAGTCCTGCCCCAATGTGCTCAGTGAGATGCTTGTTGCAACAATAAATAAATTTCACAAGTTTGTGGAAAACAACAAGGAAATTCAGCATGAAATGATTTAGTGCTCATTGTGTGGATTGCATCTATCACCCAAGTGCCCATGCACAACCACAATTTTGGTCAGCCTGAAAACAGGTGGCGCTGGTAAACAACCTTGTGCACAGAGTTCAGATTTTTCTGAGGCGAGGAAACTCAAGCAATAACCGCAACAATAAATACGAGGAAACTCAAGCAATAACCGCAACAATAATTATTTCTCGCAAGAAGGCAATGGCGGCACTGGTCGTCGACTGTGGCGGCTCTGCACTTCGCGTTGGTACCATCATGCCCGCGTTCCTCCCGTGCCCCCCCTCCGATTAGTGGTAATATCTGATAATAATAATTTCGGTATTGAGGTGTTGGTGGCGAGGCTCTGCCGCGCCTGGTCATGCCCTCGGTGGTGGGCCAGCCGCGGAAACTACAAGCCACTACCACGACCGCCCAAACGGCTGCCTCGGGCTCGAACGCGTGCGAGCTGGCATTCCGCGCCCAGGCCCTCCAGAACCGAAGCGAGTACACCATCAAGTACCTGGTACGCCCCACCTCCACCACCCGTAAGCCACCACTTCATTCCTTTGCCAACGTTCTGGGCATCGTCTAGATGTACCATGGCGTGGTGTCCAGCTGGGAAATGGCCGAGCAACTGTGGTACGTTCAATGCAACAACAACAACAACATTGTTGCTACACTCGTTCTACACGATGTGCGCAAAATGTTGGTAATGTTGGTAAATGTGGGGGTACGCATGTGTGGCGGTGGAATCTATGAGTGAGTAGGGGCGCCGCGTTCACAGAGATGAAGGTGGAGACGGAGGAGCATCCCGTGCTGCTGGCCGAAGACCCGCTCGTGCCGTGCGTCAGCCGGGAGAAGGCCGCGCAGGTGTTCTTCGAACACTTCAACGTGCCCGCCTACTACGCCGCCAGCCAGGTCCCTCCAAACATTTTCTTTTATTATTATTTTACACAATTTATATTTCCTTTATGTTCCATGTTTACATTTATTTCATTTTTTATTAAAAAAACAAACCAACACACAATCAGACAGCGCTTGCGCTGTTGGCCAGTGGCCAGCGGCGGACCGGGCTCGTGGTGGACATCGGCCAAGACAAGACCAACGTCTTAAGCGTCTACGAGGGTTCGTTACCATCATGGCTGATCAGTGTGTGGTCACGCGTCAACCATTCATTTTTTGGATGCTGTGTCGTGTGTCGCGTGTCGTGTGTGTCGTGCGCGATGCAGGTCACACGTTGCGTTATTCGAGCGGGCGGCACCAGCTCATGCCCATCGGCGGGCTCGCGTTGACTGACTATTTCATGCAACTGGTTAGCGACCCCAAGGAACACTCCTTTGCCACCACGCGCGAGCGAGACCTCCTCAGAAGTGAGTGCATACACGACACCGCACACGCACACGCACACGCACACGCACACGCACACGCACACGCACACGCACACGCACACGCACACGCACACGCACACGCACACGCACACGCACACGCACACGCACACGCACACGCACATCCAAACTCACACGCACTACACCACACACACACACACACACACACACACACACACACACACACACACACACACACACACACACACACACACACACACACACGGTGCACATGCCAACATGACAGAGGTGAAGGAGCAGGTCTGTTTCACTTCACTACACTACGACGACGATCTGGCGATCCTCGTCAAGCAATCTCAAATCAGGCTCGCGGGGTACGATTCGTAAGACGGTCTTGGCGTACGACGCATCAAGTGCGTCGTCTTGCGTGTCTTGTTGCGTGGTGTCGTATTGTGTGTTGCGTGCTGCGTGCCGTGTGTCGTGTCGCGTCTCACGGGTTCGTCGTGTTGGTCGACAGACCGCGATGGGGCAACCTGGCGGGTACCTATCTCGATAACCTGCCCAATGAGGTCCTGGAGCGCATCGACCAAGTGGCCGATCGCAACGAGATCCGTCAGCGAGTCAAGCTGGGCGACGGTACACTCAGACCCTCTCATCATTAGCATTCCTCCTTCCGGAGGCGTCAGGCGGGGAAGAAAGTCGTCACATCCACGTGTCCTGTGTGCGATTTCTTG